GGGGGGGCGGTCCTGGTGGCAGGGCATCCTTCGTGTAGTACTGAGTGACCGTCCACAATATAAAAGGGGAGTTGCGTCACCATTCCGTACCGCTGTCCTTTCATTGCGAGGGCCTCACAGCTACCGTTGGTGCACTCAGTTCTCGTCCTCCACCGCCACGAGGGTTGGACTTGCTCAGTGGGGAAGTTTCACTCTGTTGAATATACAAGGAATTGAAGGTAGTATTATGCTCATGTTAAGTCATGGACTGGTTTCTTAAACCACTAGTACCTTTCCCGCGTGGGAAAATAGGGAAAATTGCCAAACTCCTGAATTTTCGGAGGTCAGGCTCGACGATGACTGCCATTGATAAATCTGATCGGCGACCGTCGTTTCGTTTCGGCCTCTGAAAAGGTTGGACGGCTACCCGAGGGCCGCTATTTTCCCAAGCGGCAAAGGTACTAGTGGTTTAGGCCTTTTATTTATGTATAGGTACTTACGCATCCACGTCATCTGCGTTCGCGGTCCGGTGAACCTTTTTGGTTGGCGTCGTCATGTCTGTGACTGATGGACAGTGCCATGTCATCTGCGTCCTTCCATTGCGAGGGCCTTTCACCTCGACGTCAACGTGTCCATCATCTACGTCCGCTTCGCGTCGTAGCGGTTTTCATCATCCACGTGGCAGTTAGACGACAATTTGTGTCGGGATGCCGCCGCATGGTGGCACTAGAAGACGAGGAGAGACAACAAACCTGGCGATGCGGGGGAAGGACGAAAAGGTTGAGGTCACGTGCCCAAATCGAAAGGCTGCGCGTGGAGAACATGGGCTCAAAGCATGATGGCGACTTCCTGGAAGAACAAAACACTGTGGCGTAAACACAAGGGACGGGAGGGGGCAAACAATTGGGTTTTTGGCGAGATGGGGTGTCCAGGAACAGCTGGCAGCTCTCAAACAAATCGCCGTCGCTGCTAGAGTCGGAGTGTTGCCAAGAACACCTTGGCCGCAAGGGTTGTCATTGGCGAGGCGCGCTCACAGGCGAGCCGCACCTACAGGTCAGGAGATGGCGAGCGTTGGTAACGAGACAATCGTCGCGGACGTTGGGGGCAGCGCTGGTTGGGCAGGGGCAGCCACGTCAGACTGACCCTCCACAACAACAGGGGGCTACAGGGGCACGGGAAACACCGCCAGCGTCACAGGGAGCCGAGGGATCTGTCAGCCGCATAGCGACGAAACAACATCCCGACAATGGGAGTACACTTGCGGAAGGGGCGGATGAGGGGAGGGTCGATGACGTCCCCCTCCGCAATGGGAGAGGAGATGGAAGGCGGGATGGCGACAACGCCCACGATCAATTGCTCAACAGCAAGCGGAAACGAACGAAGCAGGAGGAGAATGTTGAGGAGAAGTCGAAGTTGTGGGTTGATTGCGACGAGTTGTGGGGGCAAGGCCCCAAAAAACCTTTGCAGGAGGTGGTGGTCAACTGCACGGATTACTTCATCGCCATCACCAATGGAGATGCAGGAGCGGAACCGCCGTCCATGGTGATAATGTCGCTCGATGATTTATGACGTTTCAAGATCGAGGACCCTGCGCAGCGTGAACCGGCTCTGCGCAGAGCGCGCAATGTCGAGAAAGTGGTACTGAGCAGCATCTACGGCTGGATCTTCACGTCGTCGTCGAGGTCAAACGAGCACGCTCGTGTAGAGTCGTACATCACTGTTGACTATGCTGCAGACATGGCGCGAGGTGTTTGGCAAGGCCTGGAGTGGTCAAAAGTGGTTTTCCCAACCCTAATCTACTACTTGCAGCACATGAAGATGAACGTGCCTTTGTGGTTCGTCGGGATGAAGATTGTGGACAGGCCTGGAGACGATGACATGGCGGCGCACCAGGAGGCGACAGTTATCCGCCTGGCGGAGTGTTGGACACATTCGCTTTGGTGCGGAGAATGGGCGAACGGAGGGCGTTTGAAACAGGACCGGTTGGCGAGGCTTGCGGATTGTCTTCGCCTGTTGTTGAGCCCGTGCATTTGGATTATGCGCATGGGTGGCGCCGATGACCGTTCACACTACGAGGCATCATTCTGCGCGTTCATGATCGCCAAACCCACACTCATCCCGGCGGGGTCGTACATCTTCAACTAGCGGAGACGCATTGTGGACACTGCCAACCTTGTGTTGGATCGCCTAAGGAAGCTCCACCTTACGCTGGGAAAGTACCCACTTTATATTACGGAATGGGTTGAATGTGGATTGGTGTGCAGTCACAACACAACCCTAAAGAACGTTAACGAGGCCACGAAACATGATCGGATCGGCATGGGCCCTCCAACGATTGGAGATGGAGATGATGCCAGTCGACATGTGGGCGCGTCGTGAAGGTCGTGGCTGGGTGCACATCGTACATGGAGTGACGCGTAGACACGAGTCGGTGAAATGGGCGACGAGGACGACATACGCAGTGGTCGAGGTAGCCACGTTGTCGTGCGGTGGGGGTAGCGACGTTGTCACGTCTCACACGATGGTCGTCGACATGTTATGGCTTCCTAGATGCAGTGGCTGGCAGTAGGCCGGTTAACGGGGGTGGCATGTGGGTATTGTGCAACACCGTAGATAGTTTTTTATTTTTTTTTCCGTGCTGCTTGGATATTTCCTTGCCCTCATTTATGATTGCGGCCGACGCCTCGTCCTCGATGTAGATTATCAGTGTTCAAGTTGGTGGTCAGCCGTGCATGCCTGCAAAGTTTTAAGAATTGCGCTATTCCTGCTTTAATGTTGTTTCCAAACTCAAATGATATGATGAATGTTTGTTGGGATTGCCGCACTATGCACCATCCCAATGAGTTCGTACCCATCACTGGTTTCATTCAGGTGTGTGTGATATTCATTGACTGAATGCGTCAGTCGGCAGTGCCATTTCATCCACTTATTGTCCATTATGCTTCCTTCCCTGCCTGTGTTTGATTGGGGCTTCGCAAAGCGTCAACAAATCACCCGATAAAACAAGTGTCACCACAAACCAACGAAGATAGCGACGCTGTCGCTGAAAGGAGTCAAATGCAATGATCTAAATTGATGTTTTTTTTTCTTCTTGTATGAAATTCCGCACTGGAACACAAAAGCATCAATAAATAACATGATAAAATTCAGTCGACCGCAAAATAGATGTGACAACCATTCCATGAAGAGATAAACAACTTTGCACATCGGAGGAAAGGAAACACTCGCAGAGACGAAGATGACCTTACACATACATTTGAAAACAGAAATCCGGCAAAACAAGACTCTCTCTTATCATAGTGGCACCGAAACAAGCGTGTGTGTATAGTCACCCAAAATCGTAGAGCACATGCGAATGAACCCCCCACACCCGCACCATCTCCCCCCTAAGCCTTCCCCGTGGTGCAAATCCACCCCGGCCTCGCAGAGCAGCCGAGATACCGGTCAGTGTCGTCACCATACCCTCCCCCCTCCAATCTCGGCCAGACACGCGGCGAGAATGTCACGGTGGCGAAACCCAAATCGAGAAGTGTTGCCCATCATGTGAGGAATGACGACAATCCAAGACAGTGCAATCATCATTAGATCAAGTGTACGACCAAACAAACGATCTATGTCGTCCGCTCACTGGCCTTCACACAAAAACCACGATTGGAAAACACGTTGATGACGATGGAAGCCCAAACATTGCGCAGTGAACGACGTGAGAAAGCCTATGCGCACAAATGTCGACGGCACGTCGCTCCTACGCCAGCGTGGCAAGACAGAACACCGACGGAGTCTGGAATGCGGGACTTCGACTGGCAATATGACGCGTCACATGTGTTTCGTTCGCTCCACCAGGGTGTTGCGCAGCTCGAACGCCTCGTCTGTCGAAGTCGTCATGACCACTGGCTGCGGGGGGCGATGAATTCCTAGATCCACTCGGTGCCGCACCCCGTTTTGTCGTCCTCGCACAACAGATTCTCATCGAAATCAATACCAACATCGTGGAGAATGTTGTGGAGAATGCAGACGACCATGAATTGCTGTGGCAGAGTGTCTAGCTTCGTCTTGTGCGTCCGCAGGAACAGCCTCCGCATCCCCTTCAACCTCCCGAAGGCCTTCTCAACAACCCCTCTCGCGACCTTATGCTTCGTGTCAAACCTCTCCTCGTCGGGGTGCTGATTGATCCCTCCATACGGCATCACTACCCATTCAAAAGGAGGATGCCCGTTGTCCTCTGAGTCCAAGATGTATCTGTTTGTTCTCACCCCGCCCGGCGGCGTCATAATCAGCCCACGAAACATCAATCCCTCTTTCACGCACCCCGATAGACTTGACAACTGGATCACCTTGATGTCGTGGCAGCTCCACGGATATCTAACGAATACGTCAAGCACGCACAGATCCAGGTCGACCACCACCTGGGCAATGACAGAGAAGCAGATCTTGCGATCGAAGTAGTTCTTGCTCGGCTCGTTTGCCGGTTTGTCGACGTAGATTTGTGTGCAGTCCACCGCTCCATGGCAGTTGCGAAAACCCTTCTCCAAGAACGCCCGTAGCACCCCGTAGCACGACATGTTTCCGCACCTCCGTCAGCCACGATATCTTGTCCTCGTAGACCTTGAACAAAGCGGCTGTCACATTGTGAAAGGTGACAAGCCCGGACGCTCTGCCAATGCTGAAAAATGATGCACTGTTGTCATATGTTTCACCTGTCGCCCACTGATACAACGCGTAGGCGACGATCTGCTCGGGCTGAAGAGGCTCCCTGTAGAACTTCACCTGTAGTTGCAAATGAGGTGTGCAGGCTTCAATGATCTCCATGAATACTTTCCTAGACATGCAGAGCTTATCCCGGAAGTAGTCATCCTTCATGTCATTGCACACCCGCAAATCTTCCCAAGTGCCACCAGTTCTCCCCTTCATTCACCATTGTGGCATCGCCTGAGGAAGCACACCGTACCCGATTGCAGCGAATAGCTGAACGACGGCCTCCGAGGTGCTAACACAGTCTGGGGCGTCGACATTCTTTGCACGAAAAGCCTTTCTCGCTGCCTCGAAAGTGTGACCTTTATGCGCCCTGCTGCCCTCTCCACTTGGCTGCCGATGACCACGGAGAGTGCAGCCCCCGCGACAGCTGTCTTCTCCGTCGTTGACAACAACCGAATGGCCATCCCCACCACAGCCCTCCATCACGCCCTACCGAGTCCCGACAGAAAAACGAACGTCCACCACCACCCAGCCGCCTTCACGTCCGCAACTGTGATCGAAGACGCCTGCAATGCGCACTGGGATGCCCCTGCTGAACGAATCGGATGCTCTACCCCGGTTGAAGTGTCCACCGACCGCTGCTGCTGTACGGAACTGCCGCGCGCCTCCACGTTGCGAGTGTAGACGACGATGTCCCTCTTCGCTTTGACACATCGACTACACTACAAATCGTGGCCGATCCTCGCCAGTGAAGTACGGTATGAGATGGCAACCGGAACTGGGATTTGCCACCATTGCGCGGTGTGCACTGCCCCCTTCGACGACCCGCCCGTGCGCTGCTTCACAGTCGTCCCGTGACCCACAATTTCAAATTTTGGATTTCGAACGGGGTCGTTCCTGTGTTCGATTTTTATTTTCGGGGCCCGTGACATATTACCGCTGTCCACCTGCTGGACCACCGTGCCTCGTTGCTGGACAACCCAAATCGAAGGTTGGACAAACCCCACTCGGCCGCGTACAATCTTGTGAAACGGGCCGTGGGAGGGCCCCGAGGATTCGTCCTCGATTCCCTGAGGACAGGTGGAACTACGCCTCTGAAAAACAAAAAAATCCCCGAGGATTCGTCCTCGGAGCCAGAGGACGGCCTGAGGAGTGTCTAACGACGCCCTTATCCTCTTCTCTTTGTATCTGTTCTTTTGACTTGTCTGTGTTATCCAACTTCTCTTTGAAAACTTCAACCTTCTTTTATTTCTTTTTTGTTTTTTTTCCTCCTTAGTACAGGACTTCTGCAGTTGAAACAACTGCAGGTGCCAGCAGCACTGCTGCTGCAGTTTTGCAGCTTCTGTTGCTGCAAAATTTTGCAGCTGGTGTTGCTGCACACACACACACACAAACACACACACACACACACACACACACAGACACATCTGGTTGGCCCAACGGTCTACCCAAAACTGTGACAACAATTTTTGGGTATCCCCCAGGCAATGGAAAATCGCATGGGGACCCCCGAAAAAAAAATTGGAATTTCTTCAAAACGACCTCCAACCCGGACACCGGACCCGGACTGTCTGGATTCGGGTCCGGACGTCCGGAAGACAACCATGTTTTTTATTCATTTGTCATTTGTATTGGTTAGACCACCAGTATCTCGCCCAGCTATGTGGTCCTACCCTCAGGCGACCGGTATGCTGAGCCTGCAGAGCCTTAAGGTACCAGTAGCAGGACTGACTGAGCCTGGAGGAACCAGTAGGAAAAAAAAAGAGAAAAAAGAAAAGCAACAACGCGAGGGGCATGAGTGCAGGTGGATATGTTCACCAAGTCGGAGTGTGGGTATGCCCTCAGTGAGGGCGTCTCATCCCCATTGCCAGGGTGTCAGAGTGAATATTTGCCCTGTAATTGGTTAGATACATTCTAGAAAGTGCCAGTGTGAGTTTGCCCTCTAAGGCTGGGACCCCACAGGAATGCGGAAAGGAAAAACTTCGCCGTGGAAGTGTTTCCGGGACCCCACAGCCTGCGTATAATGCATTGAAAAGCGGCGAATTCTTTCCAAGGACCGTCTTCCGGGACCCCACAGGCCGTGTTTTTTGGCGAGGAAGGTAGCAGTTGGACGTTTTCACTCCGTCTGCGTCCTGGAAAAGGCCGTCGGGAGGAAAGTTCGTCGCAAAAATGTGCTGAAAGCTGAGACTGGCCTCGGGGGCTGTCTCACACTTTTCCAAGGTCTGGTCCGGTTTTTGGACCGTGTAATGTCCATGCGTGCCCCCCGTGGACATTGCTGCGGCCGGGCGGTCGTGGAGGGAAGTGTCGCACGGTTTCCGTCGGTCCAGCGGGCGCCTCCCGGACAATAAAAACTTTCCCTTTTCGGCCACCCCCCACAGCCCTTTCCTATTTCGAAAAGAAACATCGCAGCTTTGCCGCGAAACGGCCTCCGCGGTGGGGTCCCGGAAAAATGAGTTTCCAGCTTTCCAGAAACTCTTGCCCTCTCTTTGCAGCCGACTGGCTTTTCCATCCGCACCGCAGTGTGGGGTCCCAGCCTAAGAGGCCGTTGGAGTAGAACACGGAAGATGCCCTGCCTTGCTGGCAGGGGAACATAAAAAAAAGAAAAGAAGAAAGAAAAACAAAAGAACATCATTGGGAATTTTTTTTTTTTTTTTTTTTTTTTTTTTGTTAATGGAGACGTGCTCCAATTTATTCGTGGGGAGCAACACGGCTGGGAACCGGGCCCAGCGCCCCTTATCACAATACAAGAATGAGTTACCGGGGCCATTACCCGGCTTCGGCTAAGAGCAATTGAGAAAAACGAAACGCTCAAGAATATTCAGAAAATGTATGTCGACAAGCCTCCCAACCACTAAACAGATAGGTGAAACCTATTCAATCCACCTTCGACCGCCACTAGCATGGCTGTATCCAGCACGAACCCAAGCTCTTCCAGGCCTCATGCTCCCTTCAGGCTAGGTTACAGACTTGCACCACCTTGCTCCAGCACCGGACAGCATTGCTTCAGTTACGACCCCCGATGACCACAAGGACTGCCCCCGCAAACAGCCCCCCAGATCTCTCTACCAGGCCTGACCCCCCCATTAGGCTAGGTAACAGAGTTGCGCCACCTGGCTCCGGCTCCGGCCAGCGTTGCTCCAGCATTGGTTTTCGAGGGCCACCGACTTTTCAACCACCCCATTGGGAAGTTACCATGCAATTAAAAAAAAAATAAAAAAAAGTTACCATGCAATTCGATAGATATTGAAAAAGCATGGCTACCGCGGACCCGGAGACCGGACCGGTCCGGACCCAGACAACCAATCGGCCGGGGTATGATCCGCATTTCCGGGCCAGTCCGGACCGTCGGGACATGGTCTGGATCGGTCCGGATGGTCCGGATGATCATGTCATGTCCGGATCCGTCTGGATAGAAAAAAAAAAAAAAAAAACACTGGCAGGTCTCTTATGCATGTTGAATGCAGTTTCGTCGTATAACCCTGACTTAAGGGGACTGAAAGTGTTCCAGGAAGACATAGCTGTCTGTTGGCATATATGACAAACATGAATGATCATTCCTTGACATTCACTCACTGTGCTGGCACAGTCACTGCAAAGCACAAACTGCTGCAAGGGAAGAAAAAGTGAAGAAACAAAAAAAAGAGCACTCCGCAGTAAACTTGAGAATAGAAATGGGGGCACAGTTTATTTAAATAAACAGGCCTCTGGAGGACTACAGCGATAGATAGATCGCTGTAGTCTGCTCGCTCTGGCCAGACCTTTCTCTCAGGCATAATTTAATTGATTTCCAAAGGGTACGAAGTCGGTAGATGTCGAAGCAGCCAACGACTGCTTAGTTAGTCTCACCCGACCGCCGACGGATTCGTCGCCTGGGCCTGGTCACTGCGACCTCCTGTATAAGGAGGTACCCCGACCGTACCCCTTCTCCCGAAGTTACGGGGCTATTTTGCCGAGTTCCTTACGGAGAGTTGTCTCGCGCCCCTAGGTATTCTCTACCTACCTACCTGTGTCGGTTTGAGGTACAGGCACCCACTTATTATTAGTCTTTCGAGCTACTTAGATGTTTCAGTTCGCTAAGTCAACTTCGTTGCGGTTTCCCGATAGGAAATCCATGGATCAAAGAGAGCTTCTCCCCATGGCGTTTCGCCTTTCATTGCGTCCTTTCTTTCTCAATGCCAAGGCATCCACCCAATGCATTATTTTGGATATAGCA